CGTGCTCTATTTATAAGAAAAATCCCCACTGCAGTCCCTGTGAACGTCATTACCCACCACGTCCCACTGTATCCCGCTGTTTCTGTTTAACAGCTCATAATTTACCATATATTAGTTTTGCTGCTGTGCGGCAACTGAACAATTGCAGAAACGAGAGAGCTGAAATTAAACATTTCGCCCCAAAAATTAAGCAGAAGTTGAACTAATCCTGAGATTTTCCACAAAGCTATTCGACTGTAACTCCCTCCGCCCCATCTTCAGGGTAATTCACTGCACCGTCTAGCATAATTATTCTATTTAACTCCCTCAAATTCAAGTTAGGAGGGTTAGGAGAGAGCAGGTGAATGTGCCAGATAGAGATTATGCCATGGGTCGCTCATTAAGCCAGCGTTAAATATTATGACTAATAATCACATAGGGAGATTAGTATGTTCTCTGGAGTTTTTGTGTTCCCTAATACCCCCGGCTCTGCTTTCCAGCTCTTACGTAATGTCACATCAGGATCATTCTTGGAAGCGGATCAGCAAAGGGAGATAAATGTCCCTCCGCCGCCGTATGCATGTAACACTGCTTTGTGCAGAATTATCGATGAAGGGTGTGACATCCTGCAAAAAAATACCTCCACTTTTTAACCATGAAGAAGGGACTTTCAGAGGAATCTGAGCAGATGTTGCAGGCAGAGCTGGAACTCCTGAATTTCCAATATTAGTGGTGGATTATAGGTTTTCTCATATGCAATCAGAGAGCACAAAAGTGGTCTATTTCTGGAGGAATTTGATTTGCATTTCCTTTATGCTTTGACACCCAAGCCAAATTACACAGGAGAATAATAATAGCTTTTTATACAGTATCGAGTTTTCCAGCGATCGAGTTTGATTAAATCCATCACAGCTGCAGATGATTCTTTATATCTCTATCCTCATTATTACACTCTACATATATTACAAAGTGCGATAACAGTAGAGACATAAAATTTTTCAATTCTTAAGAGCCACTGTCCGTATCATCTCCACTTAATTTCCTCAGATATTATTGTATTCTAGTGGCTAAAATACAGTTATAGTCTTAGCAAAATTTCACATGAGAAACTGAGAGAGTTTTAAAAACTTCTTCCTTTAGCCATGGTTTAAGATACAAATGTTAAAGTCAAGATCTATGGAAAATAATAGCTCTCATATCTATAAATAGTTCAGTTAGAAATTGGAAAATCTCTGACTCTGTCTAACGTTTCCTTAAATATTTTTATTGAAAAGTTTAGGAGGTAATCTGCCATAAAAACCCAAAGTATTACAATTGGTACTGAAGATCATCCACCCTCCAAACGCATGCATGTTAGGTAAACTGCTGATTCTAAATTGGTTGTAGGTGTGAATGTGAGTGTGAATGGCCGTCTGTCTGTCTGTGTTAGCCTAGTGACAGGTGTTCCCGCCTCTCACCCTATGGCAGCTGGGATAGGCTCCACCCCCACCGTGACCCTGAACTGGAAAAACTGAAGAAAACAGATGGCTGGATTATCTATAGACTGTATGGGAGCATCACACATCACACTATTTAGCAGGTATCAGTGTGATGTATAAATCCTGTTAAATCCAGAACTGAATTTAAAATCCTTCTCCTCACACACACAGTCTTGAATAATCAGGCCCCATCTTATCTTAAAGTCCTCCTAGAACCATATCACTCTAGAGCACTTCACTCTCAGACTGCTCATTTACTTGTGGTTTCTTGGATATTTAAAAGTAGAATAGGAGGCAGAGCTTTCAGCTCTCAGGCCTCTTATTCTTTCCTTCCTTTTTAACAAAGCATATAGTCAGGACTGGATCAGGTCACCCCGAATCCTCCCTTAGTTGCGCTCCAATAGGCCTGCAGTGTTTCTTCTCTACCTTTTTTCACTCACTATGTGTTTACCGCTCTGCATGGAATCGTTGGTTATTATTAATCCCCATCTCCCTCCCCTCACCTCCAATCAGTCGTAGCAGTTGGCTGCCCCACCCTGATAGGTCTACTAGAGGTTTCTTCCTGTTAAAAAGGAGTTTATCCTTTCTACTATTGCCAAGTGCTTGCTCATGGCAGGTCATGTGATTGTTGGGGTTTCTTCTATATTATTGTAGAGTCTACACTAGGAAGCGTGTTGAAGCGACATTTGTTGTTTTTTGGAGCTATATAAATAAAATTGTATTAAATAAATTGGAACAATACTAGAATTTTACTCATGACCTGAGAATAGACTTAAATGCTCTGTTAGCACACTTGACTGAATAAGTCTTGTTGTATGATCGATAACTGACATAAAAATCTTCCAAAAGGCATTAACACCACAAACATGGTGCGGTTTAAGGACTCGGCCCAAACAGGCCTTTTACATTTTGATTGCTGTCACGAGCTAAAAGTGATACTACAGTAAATCTTAGTTTAGCAGTCAAAGCAGAGACGGACATGCTAAAAATAAAGCATATGTAAGTCTGTCTAGACCGCCCAGCTTGCTGAGTGAACTTAAAAAGTGAAATCTTGCACAGCTCCAGGCGATTGCCTGCAAGTACTTAGAAGGCAGCCTGTCTGTCAGAGCATGACAGAACACCCTTTGAGATTTGTCCATCTAGACTCATCGTGTTAGAGCTAAACTGTTGAGCAGCACGACTGAGCAGCATCTCCCTCCCTCCCTCCTTTTCTCTCTCTCTCCCCCATTTTGCTGGGAGACGATAATGATGATCTTCAAGGAATGGAGAGAAAAGATGCA